CTCTCTCTCTCTCTCTCTCTCTCTCTCTCTCTCTCTCTCTCTCTCTCTCTCTCTCTCTCTCTCTCTCTCTCCTCTCTCTCTCTCTCTCTCTCTCTCTCTCTCTCTCGTGTCCTGACAGGCAGGCAGAGAGAGACAAGAGGCCGTCAGCACATAAAGGGAGAAGGGAGGTCGCGTTTATACTTCACCGCTTTGGAAATCTCGAGTTTATTAGCATTCGCAGTAGTTCGGGAGGGAGGGAGACAAGGAAAGTATTGTGTCGGGTCGAACGTTTTTAAAACTCGAGTGTGACTCAAAAGATGTCTGATGTCACCGTCGGATCTACCAAGGAGGAGAGTCCTAGCTTACCCCTCCCCCTTTTCCTTCCCCACCCCTTTCTCCCTCCTTCTCCCTCCCTTCTCCCCCCTTTCTCCCTTCTCCTCCTTCTCCCCTCCCTCCATTCTCCCCCCTCTCTCCCTCCTTCTCCCTTTCTCCCTCATTTTCCCTTCTCCCCTCCCCCTTTCTCCATCCTCCTCCCCCTTCTCCCCGTTCCCTCCTTCTCCTTTTTCCTCCTTCTCCCCTCTTCTCAACGTTCCCTCCTTCAGCCTCTCCTCCTCCGCCAATTTGCACGCTGGATTAATGAGCAGCTGATAAGCCCGTGGCAGTCGCAGTCGCTGCTGAGATCATGGGACTAGCCTCGCTGCTTGCCTTTTGATTTGCAGTTGAAGAAACGATGCAAAAAAAAAAAAGGGGAGATAAGGCTACGAATGCGGACGAAGAAGAAACACGTTGGGGGTGATTCACGGCTACTGGCAGTAAATCATCCATTTTTTTCTACAGAGATTTTATGGTCACGAGAAATTCGACTAGTCAGTGATGGAGGAGACTCGGTGACTCATTCGACCCGTTTTTTTTTTTTTTTTATAAATCTCTCGTTTTCTCGCGATGATCCCGCCATTTTTTCTCGAGAATTTGCCTTTCTTTTTTTTGTCTTCGGAGGGGAGGGTCCTTCCCGTCGCGCACTCCCTTCCGTTGCGGCGGTCGTTTAGCATTGTCTTGTCTCCCATTGATCAGGGGAAGAAGGTCTCGCGGTTTAATCAGATAAAGCGTCGTCGATAAGATATCAAGATTTTAAGGAGGTTGTCCGCACTTGCCGCGTGAAGGGGAAGGTGGCGGGGAAGGGTATGTTGTTAGCGCCCTGTGGGTATTCCGGGAAAAAAAGCTGTGGGGGGGTATCTCGTTTTATCTCATTTTTAGCACTTCAGACTCGGGAGAGGAGAGAGGGGGGGAGGGTTTATTTCTACAGCTCTCTGTTGCGAGTCGGGTTATTTTGAGGGGGCGAGGAGGTCGGAAGTGCGTGTTTCCTTTCATTTTTTTTTCAAATCGTTTTATTGTTGGTGTAATCTTAGCTAGTACAGCCTGCTTTTCTCTTGTCTATGTGTTGGTCTCAGTCTTGTCTCCTCTCTCTCTGATTTCCTCTCCGTCATTTCATCGCCTTTCTTCTCTTTTCCTTCCCTATTTCCCCACTTTCTTCCTCGTCAGTTTCTTTTAGTTTGGTGTAGTTTCTTTGCCTGGCTTTTGAAATACATATATTTTTTCGAGGTCAAGATTAAATCTATATATCGAGGAGCATTGGAGAAGCTTGCTGTGTGTTATCTTTTCACAGGCGGAAAATATGTGCGATTTTTAGAAAGTGTGTGTTGTGTGTGTGTGGTGTGTGTGTGTGTGTTGTGTGTGTGTGTGTGTGTGTTGTGTGTGTGTGTGTGTGTGTGTGTGTGTGTGTGTGTCTGTCTGTGTCTGTCTGTCTGTCTGTCTGTCTTTTGTCTGTCTGTGTCTGTGTGTGTCTATGTGTGTGTTGAATATCCCTCCAAGCACCAGTGACCACCGGGCACAACGACCAGATCAGGGATGGATACCTGCTATAGCGAACCGGCCTCTCCTCACCAACATTCCACAAGAGTTGCGTGGATGTTTATTTTTTTTGTATAATTTCACGAATCGCGGAAAGGTATTTGTTTATAATAGCACGTGCCTTTTGGTTAGGTCTCGCCCCCCCCCTCCCCTTTTTATTTTTATTTTATATTATTATTTTGTTCAACAAGTTTCAAAATTTGATGAGATTTTTTCGGGGGGTGTAGGTATTTCAGACTTAATTCTTCTGTTTCTTCTTTTTTTTTCTTCTTTTTTTTTTTCTTCTTCTTCTTCTTCTTCTTCTTCTTCTTCTTCTTCTTCTTCTTCTTCTTCTTCTTCTTCGCTGTGCAATTAACGATTTATGCCAAATTCCAAGTATTGCTTTTGGCATTGCCCGCGAGTCATGGTGTGCGCAGCATTATGAAAGGTGACGTCGGTGAAATTGCAGCGGTGACAGTATGTTTCATCATCTTCTTTGGATATTTTTAGAAGGGTATGGGAGTCTTAAGTCGTTTCTTGTATTTTATATTAGTTGATTTTATTTTTATTTTTTATTTATTTTTATTATTTTGTTGCATCCTGAATCCCAACTTTCAATGACAGTATGTTTCATCATCTTTGGATATTTTTAGAAGGGTATGGAGTCTTGAGTCTTGTAGTACAGTATTTCTTGTATTTTATCAGTTAGTTGATATGATTTTATTTTATTTATTTTGTATTAATTGTCTTGAATTCTGAATCCCAACTTTCCAAGTGACAGTATGTTTCATCATCTTTGGATATTTTTAGAAGGGTATGGGAGTCTTAAGTCTCGTAGTACAGTATGTTTCTTGTATTTTATCGGTTAGTTGATTTTATTTTTTTTTATTTTTTATTCATTTCGTTGAATTCTGAATCCCAACTTTCCAAGTGACAGTATGTTTCATCATCTTCTTTGGATATTTTTAGAAGGGTATGGGAGTCTTAAGTCTCGTAGTACAGTGTTTCTTGTATTTTATCGGTTAGTTGATTTTATTTTATTTTTTATTTATTTATTTTTGTTGAATTCTGAATCCCAACTTTCCAAGTGACAGTATGTTTCATCATCTTGATATTTTTAGAAGGTATGGAGTCTTAAGTCTCGTAGTACAGTATGTTTCTTGTATTTTATCGGTTAGTTGATTTTATTTTTTTAATTTTTATTTATTTTTTATTGATTTTGTTGCATCCTGAATCCCAACTTTCCAAGTGACAGTATGTTTCATCATCTTTGGATATTTTTAGAAGGGTATGGGAGTCTTGAGTCTTGTAGTACAGTATGTTTCTTGTGTATTATCGGTTAATTGATTTGATTTTTTTTATTTGTTTATTTTTTAATGCATTTCGTTGAATTCTGAATCCCAACTTTCCATGATTTCGCTTCAGCCTCGTTATAAAGGCGCCTTGATATTTAGGAAGAAGCTTACCTGTATGTCCTCACATGTACATACACTCTCCATTTTGCGTAGAAAATATCTTTTTTATATTCAATCTGCCTTACAATAGCACTTTTTCCGTCAATTTTTTTTTACAATTTTCTGAAATTTTGTCCATTTTTGAGCAAACTGTCGATTCTCCAGTCAGACGATAATGATCGTTCCCGTCTGAAAACCTTTCCGTCAACTTTTTCAGCCAAGCATTGTCAAATCAAGAGCTATATTCGAGAATGTTTGTATTTATGTTAAATAAAATTGGCAAAAAATGACGGAAAAAAGTGCTAGTGTGACAGCCTTTAGAAGGTTTGATCAGCTTTTTCCCTCGTCTGCAAGTGAGAGAGACCCTTCGCGGCCACCCTTTCGAGCTCGGCCTGAAGCTGCAACTGTGTAGTTTCTTCTTTCTCTCTTCACTCTCTTTTCCTTTTATTTCTTTATTTCTCACTTTTTCTTCTATTCTCTCACTTCTCTCTCGTTGCTCTTTTCTCTTGTCTCTCGTTTGCTCGTCTTCTCTCTTCTCCTTCTCCTTCTCCCTTCTCCTTCTCTTCTGTCTTCTGTCTCTGTCTCTCCTCTCTTCTTCTCTCTCTTCTCTTCTCTCTTCTCTCTTCTCTCTTCTCTCTTCTCTCTCTCTCTCTCTCTCTCTCTCTCTCTCTCCTCTCTCTCTCTCTCTCTCTCTCTCTCTCTCTCTCTCTCTCTCTCTCTCTCTCTCTCTCTCTCTCTCTCTCTCTCTCTCTCTCTCTCTCTCTCTCTCTCTCTCTCTCTCTCTCTCTCTCTCTCTCTCTCTCTCTCTCTCTCTCTCTCTCTCTCTCTCTCTCTCTCTCTCTCTCTCTCTCTCTCTCTCTCTCTCTCTCTCTCTCTCTCTCTCTCTCTCCTCTCCTCTCTCTCTCTACTCTACTTTCTCAGCGCGCAGTGGCATTTGTGCGCAGTGAACTAAAGTGGTTAGCATTATCAGTGTATTTGTTGTCATTCTGTTAAGGGGTACCATTATTTTTGTCGTACTGGTTTATGTAAGGGCTTAGGAAGGTGTATTGGTGATAAGGAGCAAGACAGAGGGATCTATGTATCTCAGATGCAAAGCAGTTAGAGAAAGAGAGAGAGAGAGAGAGGAGAGAAGAGAGAGAGTGAGAGGGAGGGAGGAAGGGAGAAGAATTATTTATCTGGCTCAATTTCTTATTGATATCTTTAATAGGTGGCGATAAAGATAATGAGGGTGGTGCTGCTAACAGTATTCCTATTCCCACGGGAACATTTAGTGGTTGGGTGACCTGGCTGGTTGGTGCACGGTAGGGGGGCGCAGATGATGAAGGTTGACACTTAGGGGGAGAGGGAGGGGTAAGGTCATGGGAAGGGGGGTGAGGTGCAGAAGGGGCCTTATCTTTATGGCATTATTATTGTGGACGGTGGCCAGCTGGGGGCGGTGCGACCACCAGCTGCTGTTTACACGAACGGGCTCCTCTATGTGCTTCCCCTGTCTCCCTTTCCTCCCCCTCTTGCCTCCTCCCCTCTTTCTTGTTTGTTTCTTTTTACCCTCGTATTTATCATACACTTTCGTTGTAACCGTACACATTTCTTCTTTTTTCTTCTTTCCATATTCTTTTCTCCTTTCTCCTTTTCCATCTGGTTTTGTTTACGTCCCCCCCCCCCATTATCACTTTCTTCGTCATGTGTGCCTGCCGTGTTATGCCGCGTCCGTCCCTCCGGCGGTACTTTCAAAGGCCTCTTTCTTCGTCTACTCCAGCATGCCTTTTTCTCGTGCGTCCTGCCCTTGTGCCCTGCCCTTTCCCTGCCTTGTGTCCTGCCCTTGTGTCCTGCCCTTGTGCCCTGCCCTGTGTCCTGCCCCCTGCCCTTGTGTCCTGTCCTTGTGCCTGCCCTTGTGTCTGCCTTGCCCTTTGTGCCCTGCCTTGTGTCCTGCCCTTGCCCTGTGCCCTTGTGTTCTGCCCTTGTGTCCTGCCCTTGTGCCCTGCCCTTGTGCCCTTGTGCCTGCCCTGTGCCCTGCCTGTGTCTGCCCTTGTGTCCTGCCCTTGTGCCCTGCCCTTGTGTCCTGCCCTTGTGCCCTGCCCTTGTGCCCTGCCCTTGTGTCCTGCCCTTGTGCCCTGCCCTTGTGTCCTGCCCTTGTATCCTGCCCTTGTGTCCTGCCCTTGTTATTGAGGACGCGAAACGAAGCACGTGTAAATATTATTCCCGGGGGAAAGCTGGTTTGGAGGAGCGATTGCGCCGCCGCAAGTCACTAGATCAAATAGAAGATGCAAGGAAGGACCGCCCACCCACAAGGCTTTTTGGGGCAAGGGGGTGGGGAGGGGAGGGAGGGGAAGGGTATTTTAGGGGGGAAACGTGGAAAGCGTAGTCTGTTTTTCTGTCTCTGTCTCTCTCTGTCTTCTCCTCTCACTTTCGTCTCTCTCTCCCTCCCTCCCTCCCTCCGTCCCTCCCGCTCTCTCCTTCCCTCCGTCTCTCTCCTTCCCTCCATCTCTCCTCTCTCTCTCTCTCTCTCTCTCTCTCTCTCCCTCTCTCTCTCTCTCTCTCTCTCTCTCTCTCTCTCTCTCTCTCGTAATGCGAGATATTCACTCAACTAGATGTGTGTGATAAGTTTATTTGATATGATTTTTATGCAAATCGATATGGGAGGTCATAGGAAAAATAGTATGAGCAAGGAGAAGAAGGAGAGAAGTGTGGAAGAGAGAGAGAATAGAGAGAAAGAAATCGGAGACATGCATCCTCCAACCCCAACGCCGATCCAGATTTGATTGCGGGCGAATCACACGAGTCAATCCAGAGGGAGCCTAGTGCACGTGCCCCTCGCTCCAGGGCGTTTAGGAACCGTTCGTAAGTGGGGATTCGAGGGGGGGGGAGAGCACCCACCGCGAGAGGAGGAGAAATGCGAGGGTGGGGGGGGCTCCTCGTGACCAGCGTCATCTGTTCAATCTCGGGTCACCTGTCGTGTCTTCTTTAGGAGCGGCTTATCTCGCGGGTTTATACGCTGGGGGAGTGATTGCTCATTGGTGGGAGGGGGCGAGGGGAGGGAGGGGAGGGGGGGAGGGAGGGAGGGGAGGGGAGGCTTGAGAGGATTGCTCAGGAGGGGGCGAGGGGAGGGAGGGGAGGAGGAGGAGGCTTGAGAGGGGTCTTTGGGTCTTGTGGGATTGCTCATGGGTGGGGAGGGGGCGAGGGAGGGAGGGGGAGGTCTTGGGTCTTTGGGGATTGCTCATGGGGTGGGGAGGGGCGAGTGGAGGAGGAGGAGGGTAGAGGGGGGTCTTGGGTCTTGTGGGATTGGATCTTGGTTGAGGAAAGGGTTGAGTGGCGTGGTGACGACGATGTCATTTTCTTTTCTCTTCTCTCTCTCTCTCTCTCTCTCTCTCTCTCTCTCTCTCTCTCTCTCTCTCTCTCTCTCTCTCTCTCTCTCTCTCTCTCTCTCTCTCTCTCTCTGGGGGGAAAAAAGGAAGAATTGAAGACACCGAAACAGGTTATATGATCCTCTTCCTTCCTGTTTCTTATTTCCACCTCCTTCCAAGGCGCCACTTATCTTCTTGAACTCCCCCCTCTTTTTTTCTTCGTGGCCCTTCTGCTACCTCTTGTTTTTGTGTGTTTTCGCTTCCTGTGTCGTTTTTTTATTTCTTGTTTTCTTCTCTCCTTCACATCTTCCTTAGTTACGCTGTTCTATGTCTCTATTATGTGATATTTGTATTTCAGTCTGCATATTTTCACACTCTTTTGTCCTTACTTTCCTCTCTTTCCTTCTATTCCATTTCCCTTCCCTCCTCCTCTTTCCTCTTGTCTTCAACCTTTTCCTTCTCATCCTCAACTTTTTTTCCTTCTACTCTTCTTTCCTCTTTCCTCCTCCTTCTCCTCTCCTTCTCCTTTTCCTTCTCACCATCTTCCTCCTATCCCATCCCATCCCAAAATTGGTAACTTTTTCTCTTAGTTCTTCGTAATCGTCTTTTCAACTCCATCCTTACCCCCCTTTCGTTCTCTTTATTATCTCCTCCCTCCTTTCTCCAGCGTCATCCTTATCGACGTCCATTGTTATTTCTCCCGTCTCCTGTCTCCCTCCTTTGCCCCCACCCCCCACCCCACCCCCAAAGAACCCCCGGTGTCTAGGGCAAGTACTTAGGCGCAGATGCTAGACAGATGTAGCAGGTACTCGGGTGGTCTCGGAAGGTTTAAGGTACTTTGCTTCCTCTTCAGGATCTTTATCTCTCTGTCTCTCTTTCTCTTTTCTTTTCTTTTTCTTTCTCTTTTCTTCCCTTCCCCTTCCTTCCCTCCCTCTCCCTACCTCTCTCACTCCCACTCCTTTATCTCTCTCTCTATGTCCCGTCTTCCTAACTTCCTCCTCTCCATCTCCTCCCTCGCTCGCCTTTCTCATTTCTCCATTTCCCCAATCCCCTTCCCCTCAGCTCCCCTCTCGCTCCCTCTCCTCAGACCAGCCCTCACTCCCTCCCCTCTGACCAGCTTCTCTCCCTCCCCTCTCTCTCCCCTCTCCTTCCCTCTCTCCCTCCCCTCTCTCCCTTCCCCTGGCCTACCTCTCTCTCTCCCCTCTCTCCCTCCCCTCTGCCCCTCCCCTCTGCCCACCCCTCAGCCCACCCTCTCTCCTCCTTCTCTCCTCCCTCCCTCCCCTCTTCTCCCTCCCCTCGGCCCACCCCTCGCTCCCTTCCTTCTTCTCCCGCCTCACCAGAGGCTGGAGATGCTAAACAAACAACTGATTATCGTCCAAGTGTTCGCTGTGTCCCTCCTCCTCGAACTGTTCGTGTAAGGACAAGTTATTCTCTCCTCTCTCTCTTTCTCCCGCTCTCGCTCTCTCTTTCTTTTTCTCTCCCGCTATCGCTCTTTCTTCTTCTCTCTCTCTTTCTCTTCTCTTCTCTCTTTCTTTCTCTCTCTTCTCTCTTCTTTCTCTTTGTCTCTTTCTTCTCTTTTCTCTTTCTTTTCTCTTTGTCTCTTTCTTTCTCTCTCTTCTTTCTCTTTGTCTCTCTCTTCTTTCTCTTTTCTCTTCTTTCTTTCTCTCTCTCTTTCTTTCTCTCTTTCTCTCTCTCTCTCTCTCTCTCTTTCTCTCTCTCTTCTCTTCTCTCTCTCTCTCTCTCTCTCTCTCTCTCTCTCTCTCTCTCTCTCTCTCTCTCTCTCTCTCTCTCTCTCTCTCTCTCTCTCGCTCTCCGCTCTCTCGCTCTCTCGCTCTCTCCTCTCTCGCTCTCACCCACACATCCCACACGCACGCACACGCACACGCACACGCACACAGTGGCATTTCCATTACTTTCTTCGCTGTATTATTCTTAAGATCCTTAATCATTACCCACTTGAGGCTGCATAAAGATTGCTTTTGTTTTTCTCTGCCATGTGTATTCCACGGGAAATACCTCTTCTGGGACTGATAAAGCTGAAGAATAAGACTGTCAGCGGTTTCAATATGGTTTTGCAACGTTCGGTCATCTTACTGTTTTTAGATGAAACAGGGTCAGGTGTTTCGTGTTTTGGCATCTTTCTTCGTTCAGTTTTTTTTATGATTGGTTATTTTGTGTTTCGTGTTTCGGCATCTTCGTTCTGTTTTTTTGTGATTGGTTATTTTTGTTTCGTGTTTCGGCATCTTCGTTCAGTTTTTTTTATGATTTGTTGTTTTGTTATTCATTGTTTTATAGTTGTTGTTGTATATCGTGTGTTTGTTATTTATTAGGTTTTCGTAAAGCTTCCAGGTAAATGGAAGTTTATTTTTATGGCTGTGGGTGTAGCCTTGGACTTTGTGTTATTTATTGTTATTGTTAGTATTATTGTTGTTGTTGCTCTTATTATTTTTATTATTTCAGCTGCTATCACGTCCTCTCCTTGTCCTTTTTCTTTTTTCTTTTCTTTTTCTTCTTCGCCTGCTTCCTCTTTTTCTTTTTCTCCTCCTCCTTCTTCTCCTTCTCCTTCTTCTCTATCTTCTTCCTTTTCTTATTTTTCTCCTTCTCCTTCTCCTTCTACTTCTTCCTCTACTTCTACCGATCCCACTACCCCAATCCCATTCTTTCTCTTCTTTATATAGATTTTGCGTACACTGCCATGCTTTTCCGAGACGCCTTCTTCGCCTGCTTCTTCTTTTCTTTTTCTTCTTCTCCTTCTCCTTTTCCTTTCTTATCTTCTTTTTATTTTTTCTTCTTCTTCTCCTACTTCTACTTCTTCCTCTACTTCTACCGATCCCGCTACCCCAATCCCATTCTTTCTCTTCTTTATATAGATTTTGCATACTCTGCCATGCTTTTTCGAGACGCCTTCTTTCGGCCTGCTTCTTTTTTTTTTTTCTTTTTTCTTTCTCCTTCTCCTTTTCCTTTCTTATCTTCTTCCTATTTTTTCTTCTCCTCCTTCTCCTTCTACTTTCCTCTACTTCTACCTCCGCTACCCCAATCCCATTCTTTCTCTCCTTTATATAGATTTTGCGTACTCTGCCATGCTTTTTCGAGACGCCTTCTTCGCCTGCTTCTTCTTTTTCTTTTTCTTTTTCTCCTCCTCCTTTTCCTTTCTTATCTTCTTCCTATTTTTTCTTCTCCTCCTTCTCCTTCTACTTCTTCCTCTACTTCTTCTATTCCCGCTACCCCAACCCCATTCTTCCTCTTCTTTATATGGATTTTACGTACTCTGCCATGCATTTTCGAGACGCCTTCTTCGCCTGCTTCTTTTTCTTTTTCTTCTTCTCCTTCTCCTTCTCCTTCTCCTTCTCCTTTTCCTTTTCCTTTCTTATCTTCTTCCTATTTTTTCTTCTCCTTCTCTTTCTCCTTCTACTTCTTTCTCTACTTCTTCTACTCCCGCTACCCCAACCCCATTCTTCCTCTCCTTTATATAGATTTTGCGTACTCTGCCATGCTTTTTCCGAGACGCAGTTCAAGGGGCGTACGTGTGGAAGGCCCGCTCCCAACGGCGGGAAGAACAAACTTGGTAATTAACTAACTTCGCTCGCACACTCTGGCGAAACGGAAGGGCGGCCGACGGGGGCCTGGGAGAGCGAACAGGAAATGATGTAAACGGAGACGATGTCGTAAGCGGTCCACTTGTTGGCTAACAGAGTGCTGGTTGTGGTGCCCTCCCACCCGTCTCCTCCTCCTCCTCCTTCTTCTTCTTTTCTCTTCTCCTCCTCTCCTTCCTCGCCTCCCGCTTCCTCTTCTCGTCTTCCGCTTTCTCCTCTTTCTCGTCTTTCT